GAATCGTTTGCTTGATTTGCCGAACTGGATGACATGTGTGGCTTCGCCTATTCAAAACATTTCTACTGTCATCACTGTGTTGTGTATGAGATGCTGTTGAGTGGAAATGCATGCATTTTGTAGTATGACGTGTTCTGTTTTCTTTGCTTTACTCACTGGGGTCCATTCCAGTGCCATCGTCAAGGAAACACAGCATAAACCCGCCTCTCAGATCTGGTCTCTTCTCTGATTGGCCATAACGAATGAATATGAACATGTATTGGGGTCAATTCGTTTTGTTGTAGTACATATTTTTGCTAGTGTTGAAATGTATTTCTATAACTTAAAACTATTGTATCCAACCTGTATAGATGTCTATCCGTGTGGCATTTGCATCTCTGTGGACGAGAAACATTATGATTTAGCGTGTCAGTAATACTTAATAATTACTGACGGAAAAACTGTGTTTGTACCTTGAGTTGTCCACGAGTTCGGCTAAAGCTCCAAAAAGAAACTCGTGGGTTGTCCTGTTGGCAATAAAATAATTGGTCAACAACAACAAAAAATGACCCTTACCATCGCGTGTTACTTTTGTAGTTTATGGCCGATAACGTATGTGTCAAAGTCGAGTTGTTATACAAGAATAATTCATATGAATGCATAGGAATGTACAACCAAAACATCATCCTCCCCAATTGTTCTTTGGTGTTCAATTCACAAAAACATATACATTGTCTGCACTGCCATTGACAGTCTGTGCATCACTTTGCTGAAAAAATTTTCATTGACAATGAATGACTTCTGGCCATATTGCTGCTGCAAGCTGCTCTGTAGAAAGTACACATGCTTGAGAACACAGCAGCATAATCTAAATGCTTAAAATCAAGCACACAATCTCAAAAATACCAAAGGAATCCTTCCCAGAGTCCTCATGGTAGCCTGTTTCAGGACATTTCTCTTATAGGAATGGTTTTACCAATCCCCATTATGGAAAAACCATGGCATAGTTTTATTTAATTACACAACGCGAGAATGTCATGACTTATTTTCACGTGCATATAAACACACTAAAATTGGTACTTACGAGTTTGTGTGCAGATATTCAAAGGTGAGCTGAGCTCGGTTTAATGAGCTGTAATTTGTGTAGGCCATAGTCTCCAAAATAAAACTAATTTATAAAAAAAAGCTGATTGTATTCACGACTCGCTTCTACATTCTTCCCATATGATGAGAATCAAGTGTGATTGTTCAAAACCTAGAAAACAAGAAACAAACACGTCAGTACACACTATCCATGGATCTATTGCAAAACTGTAGTATATCACCTGTTGACCAACTCATTGGAAATTGGAATATTAACCTTGCTTACTGGCATTTATATTTTTTATAAATAGTAAGTGGCAACAGTAAAAAATATGCAACAATACAAACGTTGCAAACAGTAGTATGCTATGCTATTGCTATGATGATCACATGATGCGTCCAGCAACATTTTTTGGAAATTAATAGAGTTAGTTTACATTTTTAATTCAATTTTGAGTAAAAAGATCCCTTTACTACGGGCTGTCAAATTAATAAGTAATTACTTCCAATGCATTCCTACAGGATTCAATTGCAATACATTGTGGGGTTCCCCGCAGTGTGTTATACTGTATACTGCACTTTAGCAAATGTTCTTGCATACTGTGCCCAGGATGCATACTACATATCACAAAAACAGTAAAGTACTGTAGCCTCAAATTGAAAAATATAAATTTTCTATAACTACAGCATTTGCCATTCTGTGTGCTTTTTCCATCTCGACATAATAAACCTTTAGTCACTGTAAATTATTTTTTTTATATATCCTTTCTTATTGTAGGCATGCATGATGCATTTTTTTGAACATGTACAAACTTTTGCCATTTAAAATGATAATGCATATTTTCTTTTTCTGGGTTAAATAATGAACCGTACAGGTGAGCTCATAAATGGGGTGTCTCTTACTGCCCGTCCTTGAACTGACTAAATTCACAGACAAACACACGCCAGGCCAACCCATGCTGCAAGGCCCTTAAGATCCATGCAACAGCAGAGACTGATGATCTGCTAACACATTCATTCACTAAACGCTCAAATTAGTATCTGGACTGTCAGATTTATCTCCTGACTCATGCAATGAAGCATGCACAGGAGCACTGGTCAAATAACTGCGGCCTGTCCATAACCAACCGTCTACATTTACAAATCCAACAGCCTTTGTACAGTAACACAAGCAATAAATGTGATTTCAATAATGCAAACCATTTAACCACTCCTCGGACTCCGTTTGATTTTATCCAACGGTTTCTGCCTGTTGCATGAGGAAAACTACCAAACAGAACGTGTTTATTCCTTTTTCGTTCATAGAAAGCAGATGCAAGGCCTCCAATCGCTCCAGCAGCTCTTTCCCTCGAACAACACGCACAAGCGCCGAGCACAGCTTGCCCCGCCCTCCTCGCCGCGCTCAGCCAATCGCAACGCCCTCTGCTTCATTACGCGCGTATGATTGGTTGAAGTCGCCGTCGTTTAACGTAAAGCAGGAAGTAAGTTTGCTGGTCCATGAAGGAATGTGGCGTGGAAAAACGCGGGGTGCTAATAAAGCACAACACGACTAATCGATACGCTGACCTGCTGCTATTGGGTTTTAAAATCATATAAAAGGTAATAATGATACGACCACCTTTATCCAATATGAAACCACGAGGTATTATGAATTAAGTCACGTTTTGTCAGATAAGTTGATTTTACTAATTTATATAGTTTGTGGTTCAAGCTATACAGTCTGTAAGCTTTTTAGCAAAACACTTTTGGTAAAAGGTGAAGGCTTACGATGAAAACTGTATGTAATGGACGGAGGGGACAAAATGTCTGCCTGAACATAAAAGCTGTTGCATCTCTTCAAACAGATACCATTCATTGATTTCGAAGTGTTGCAAATATTTTTTTTTATACTACTACTGAACTTGGTGAGAAATCACACCTGTTTGTGTAACCAGACTGTCTGAGCCGCAAAGAAAAAAATATTTCCAGCCCAAAATATTTTTTTCTAGCCATTAAGAAAACGCTGGCTGCTTTTTAAACGTTCGGATTGGCTGATGTTTCTCTAGGGGGCGGGGTTTGAAGAATATGTGTCTTTGACTGAATGAGGGGGGGTCTTATTCCGTAATATCAATATGATACCTAATTAAGTTTCAGAGAATAAAATGGATATCAACAAAATTTAAAGGCAACATTTTTAACCTTTAATAGGCCTAATCAAAAATGATGATTGACTTAGAATTTAACGTAAACATCACACAAGGCCAATGTAATACATTTCACATTTAGGTAAATTGTTAGTGTGAAATGATTCAAGATGATTTTTTGCTATTATTATGCTGTCTTTTTTGAATTAGCAGTGTTAACTTAAAGGTCTATCCACCAATTCCTGGCTTGATGATTGGCCATTGTGATAAAAAAGTGTTTTTTTGTGAATTGTTGTCAAAAGGTAAGTGTGTTTTCTGTGTAGTTTTTGTATGTGAATTAAAAGACCAGAACACTGAATACACCACTGCTGAATAATGTCCGGACACCTTTACTTTGCTCATTGCCAGAATGGCACAATGACATTTAGGTGTATTTCTGGCTTGATGATTGGCCATTGTGATAAAAAAGTGTTTTTTGTGAATTGTTGTCAAAAGGTAAGTGTGTTTTCTGTGTAGTTTTTGTATGTGAATTAAAAGACCAGAACACTGAATACACCACTGCTGAATAATGTCCGGACACCTTTACTTTGCTCATTGCCAGAATGGCACAATGGAATATTTTAATACATTTTGTTTTTAGAAAAATTAACAAATGATGATTAATATTAAAGATATTAATTCGTGTGACATCAAGACAAAGCTTTCAATCATCTAACTTACTCTTGGAGTATAGTTATATTATAACCGTCAATCTCAGGTTATATTGGGATTGTTAACACTCACATGTCATAGCATAGTATTGCAACAAAACATGAAATAAAGTCACATTTAGATCAGATCTATTCTGAATGAAATTGCATGCAGCCTGAATAACCGGCTGCCATTTCTTAGTTGTACAACACCAACATGTTGAAAATGAAAAATTACTGTCGAATACCCAAATGCTCATTTCTTTCTGATGTCACGTGGTGCCAGTTCACTCTCAAATGTGGATGTTCTGCAGATGTTTCTCATCGGCTCAGCAGCGATTCCTATGAATTATTTCAATTGTTTAAATGCTTTTAAAACAAACTGTATAATAAAACTCACAACATGTTAATTCACACAACAAAGTTGCACGCTGTCTCAAGAAAAAATGCAAATCAAAGCTCTTTGGTAAATCAGAGTACATTGGTAAGCGCTACAGTTTAAATCCATAGTACTACCTTCTGAAGGTCATTCCCCTGGTAAGAACGTGGTGAACGTGAAGGAAAAGTTCCACAGAGACTCATGAGGACACAGATAACCAGCAGCACAACACTGACCAGCAACAGGTGATGCCTACACGAGGCTTTTTCATCCTAGTCAAGCAATACAGAAGTGGAGAGGTTAGCTAGATGTTGCTTAAATGAAAGTTCACAAGTGACACTGTTACTGAACTTAAAGGGTTAGTTCACCCAAAAATGACAATTAGCCTATAATTTACTCACCCTCAAGTCATCCTAGGTGTATATGACTTTCTTCTTTCAGACGAATCCAGTCGGAGGTATATTAAAAATTAAGAAGTGACGAACTCGGAAACGCAGCAGAGAGGTCAGAACAAAACAACGGTCACTAATTAGAAGTACAAAACGAGGATTTGTAAAGAAGAATGTCGTTTATGTGTTGTGTAAAATAGGTAATAGTAGAAAAAGAAGAAAAAAAAAACACCAGCCATGCATTAATAAAATCAAAATGAATGAAATGTAAATCGACTGTTTTAAATTAAATGTGAAATGTGTTCTGGATATACGGTACCTATTTTATAAGGAATTGATTTTTTCGGTCGATCTTTTATTGTGTAAATCAGAAAGCGGAAGCGCTGTCCGTTGCTTCCTCCTGCTGTCCGCCGTGCTCACTGCTGCTGTTTGAATGAGACCTTTTAATGATTAAATTCATATTCAGATACTTAATTTGATAAAAGCAGTTGAAAGGTGAGATTTTATGATTTCATTTCGGTGCATCTTGTTTAAACACAACATGAATATCGTGTGTTTAAATCAACCCGCTGTTACTTTAACGAGAAGCTAGCCTGATAGCACAGTTTACTATATATATATATATATATATATATAATGTATATAACTTACAAAACCAATATTTAATTAAGAAACGTAAAGTCTGTATTTGATATTTAAAACACGTTTGACTTCTTACTCAAAGCAGAATAATGTTATTTTTTAGCATTATTTATATGTTTATGCTGTTTATTAATATTTTGAATTGGCTTTTATTTTTCTGTTTTCATTTTAATTGATTTAAATTTTGTTTTTTGATATTTATTTTATTTATTTTAATTTATTTTGTTAGTTTTAAAAATATATTTCTATTTAGCTTTGAATTATGTTCATTTCTGTTTTTAAGTTTAGTTTTTTTCACATAATATTTCTATTTGATTTTATTTCATCTTTATTTAAATGACTGAAAACAATTATACAATAACAGCACAAGCAGATACAGTTAAACATAAAAAAAATAATTGCATATAAATAGTCTGTGAGAAAATACTAAGAGTAACTTAGGAATGAACTTCCTGCGTCACATTCATAAAATATTATGATAGTAATATATGGAAGCTCTTTCCCCCAGAGAGTAAAGTTTCAGTTTGGATGCAATTTGAAATTACAGTAAAACAAATCAAAACACACAACTGGATTTTATTTCATCTTTATTTAAATGACTGAAAACAATTATACAATAACAGCACAAGCAGATACAGTTAAACATAAAAAAATAATTGCATATAAATAGTCTGTGAGAAAATACTAAGAGTAACTTAGGAGTGAACTTCCTGCGTCACATTCATAAAATATATTATGATAGTAATATATGAAAGCTCTTTCCCCCAGAGAGTAAAGTTTCAGTTTGGATGCAATTTGAAATTACAGTAAAACAAATCAAAACACACAACTGACAAAAGTGTACTGTCACATTATATTTTTAAATCAGGGCTTGTGATTTCATTTATGATCATTCTGATTTCTTTCATATTTCAGTCATGTCCTCAGACGCTGTGAAGAAGAGAAAGCCGAAGGTCATCCGAAATGAAACAGGAACTCCAGAGACCAAGCGAGGTCGAGCAGAAGGCGATCAGGTGAGCAGCGCTGATCTGAAATGCGATTGAAAAGCTCAAACCGATTGTGTTAGTGCTGTTTGTGATGTGATTGCAGCAGAGCAGTACATTAACCCTCAAATCATTCTTCTTTTCTTATAACTCTCATATCCATGTGCAGCTGAGTGCAGTCAGTTCACATGTCAAGTTCAGGAAGGTCAGGTTGAGGCAGGTGCAGGTACCATCCAGCATGCTCCACTCATTTAGGCTTCAGGGCGTATTACAGAAAGTTTCTTATCTTGGTTCTTATCTCTAGTTAGGAAATCTTAAATTGCATTATCAAGCTTGACAATCCACTCTCAGGTCTGTTACCAAGCAACCAACACTGCACAAGCTGCTGATGAGGTAAACAAAATAATAGAAGCTAGCTACTGGGCTGCACAATTAATCGAATGTGATTGTCATGCGCATTTTGTT